GCCTATTATTTCTGGATATTTCAGAAAGACAAGAAATACCGAATTACGTACAGTTTGGGGATCACTATTTCCATCACAGTCAGAACCAGTGAATACGACGATGAAAATGAAGTAAAGGAGGGAAGAAGCATAGAGTCAATCTGTCTGGGGTTTAAAAAATAAAAATATATCGCAGAAAGAAAGCATCTTCAACCAGTTTATTGAGATCTTGACTAGAAATTTTTCCATTTAAAAAAAATGTGAGATACTTCTGAGAAAGAATCTACCCTAATATGTGTAGTTCACTAATCAATAGAAGAAAAAGAAATATCTCTGGGAAGGAACCTATCCCAATATGGGTTAATAACTAATAATAAAAAGAAAAATTTTACCTAACTTTAGAAACTCTGTTCAGGGAGCAACAACCTTGAATAAAAGAGCATGGAAAGCCGTCCATGTTCTCTGTCATCCTGTATAATATTATTTTCCATGCAAAGTGCCAGGTTGCATTTCTTATTCTGCTGCATTGCTGTGAACATGGTTCTGGTACATTGTGGCTCATCCAGGGATACTCCTGTTATAAATTTTGAAGACTATTCAAAACCAGGATGGGAGTCAGAGTTGATCTGTGCCAACATTTCTGCTGAGAATTAGCCCAGTTCCATTACGCATGGGGGAGCCCCAGTTTTCTGCTTTTGCCTGTTTGGGGTACATAGATCCAGCTGAGAGATTCTGCAGGGCGTGCAAAGTTGAGAAACCACATGATAGGAACTCTATCACTTACTCTTTCATAATGACCTATATGTGGGAGACTAAAAAAAGATCAGATTTTTCCACCATTCAGTGCAGCTGTGAAGCTTCTATGAAAAACTGCTTCTGCTCCATGAGGCTCGCAGAATGCAGACAAATTGAGGAGAGTCTCTCAAATTGAGCAGGGGCTCCAAGAGCCCTGTGTGTCCTTTTTAACTCTTTTTTAATAAACTGGGTTACTAAGGGACAGATTAACTGCTTGGCTTGTGCCTTCATTCATCAGATGAAGAAACTGAGGCCCAAGGTGGTAAAGTGGCTTTTTCAAATTGAAGATGAGTTGGGAGCCAAGCCAGAGTGTGTAGGACCCAGGTCTTCTGACTCCTAATGGCCAAACTGTGGTCCCTAAACCTGAGCATGGTGATAATTAGCTAGGTTGTCATAGATAGGGCAGGAGGTCTAATAAGAGTATATTGTGAAATCTTTGCTGATTGGAAAAAGTAACGATGAACTCAAAATTTGGTCTCTGTGCCTTTATTCTATTTAATCTATATTCACATACAAGACTTAGTTTCTCAAACTATATGTTTGTCTGTTTTATCTTACAGATTGCCTATTTCATCAGAATAGAGCTTATTTTAATGAAGTTCATCCCTATTGACTGGGCTTTTAACCACTCAGAAGATCTGAGTGTCCTTGCATCTTCATTTAATCTCACCATGTACTTCTACCTTCTGATCCTATATTAAGGGGTTCAGTTTGACCAGTGTAGCACATACTCCCCAAGGAACCCTACTTATTATTTTCCCATCTGAGATAGGCCAGTGAATCCCCAGGCCTTCGTTTAATGTCTAGATTTTGTTCGTTTTAGCTTTTCTAACCCCATAGATTTTTATTTAGGTTTGCATGAGATTTGTACAAGTAATATTTTGCATTTATTTGCACAGGACCTAAACAGACATGGAGTCAGTGCTCACTTGTACTCATTGTTTTTAAACATTACTCTTTCCTATTAAGAATCCCCTGCTTTGGAATGGCATCTGTTGTCCTTCCCATCCCCTCTTTCCCCTTTATGGTAACGATAATGAGTAGTGCCTCCCATTTGGGGTCACATAACCTTGTTCCACTTACAGGGAGAATTCATGAGTAGTAATATATTCTCCAAAGAGAATCTGACCTGGAAACTGAGAGTGTCACGGGAAGGCATATGATGCTCGATCCCATAACTAATGAAGGTTGTTGCATCCTAGCCCAGTTCTATGGGTAAGGCCCAGAGTGGTCTGACTCTGAGTTAGAACAAAGTGCTACAGAACCATAAATTCATCTGTTTAGATCTAATATTAAATCAGACCCAAATTTTCCTCTAAGTGGACTGCAAAGCTGCACGTATTGAGCACCTGCTAGGTTTACGTGGGAGTCTCTTAGCTGTGAGTTTTTTTGTCGGGAAGAGACTGTGCCTAATATTGCACCTGGCACATGACAGGAGAGCCAGGAATATGTGTTACATGAAGGAGATTGGTGAAAACTGGGATTTTTCAGAGTGTCCTGTCCTGAGGCCCCTCCAGATGGAAGTGGTTCTCCTGGGGCCTAACACATCCAGTTCTTTCTTGAGGCTCGGCTGCAATTTGACCTTCTTCCAAAGATGAAGAGGAAAGACATTATTCATCTGAGATTTGCCTTGCAGTGTTTAGCACAAATTTGGTTTCTAAGGAAAGGCTGGCAAAGCATTGATGCAGGAAAAATTATTCTTTGGTATTCTTCTCTGATGACCATAGATTGAGCAAGATTTTTGTATAGTTACTGTAGCCATGAAAATAATCACTGAGGAACATTACTCTTTGATGAAGGCCAGGGAGGAAGGCTAACAGAAATGTAATGCCAGTCGTCCAGCCCTCTCTCTACCTCCTCCAAACATTTATTCAGTGTTTTAAAATCCATGATTTCTCCTTGCTTTTGCTTGGTTTTTAAATGTCAGTCTGAAGGCAGAATGTATTTTTAACTGATTTGTGATCATAATTTGTGTCTATAAAAGGTAATATTCCTATTCACTTTCAAATCAATTTGCAGTTTGAAGATGAGGTTTTGGTGATATAAGACACACGTTAGGTGCTTAGTAAATACAGAAAGGAAAGGCAGAAAGCTGGGAGGGAGGATGGGAAGGAGAGGAAGTGAGCCCACACTTGGGCCCTGGATTCAGCCTGCAGAGTCCCTCAGATTCTGCCAGGAACCAGCCGAGTAACCTGATAATATCCATTGACTTCTAACTCTTGAGTTTGCTCACCTTTAAAATGAGATGGTATCTAACCAATGTGCTGTATACTTGAAGCTAATAAAAGTTTTAAAAAATGAGATAGTATCTACTTCTGGGGAGTTTTGAGAGACTTAAGTGGTGAATGCATGGAAACGTCTGACACAGACCAACTCAATAAATGTTAGTTTTTTAATATAATGACTAATAATGTTCATGACTTCCAGCGATCATCTTCTTTGAGATAACATTTCCCTGCTTATCTTTCTGGACTTTAAAATGAGTCCCTGTGAATTAATACATTTTCCTCAGGGCACAGAGAGCCACACACACTACAATACCTCAGAACAGGGAGCAGTCACAGACAACAGCCTTCTCAGGGATGTCCCGCGGTGCTGTCGCCCACCTGCCCTTAGGTGCGAGTTTCCCCTCTCTCGCTAGGGGTCTCAGGCTTCAGTCATAATTCTCACCTGACTGATGTTCTCTTGTCTGAACAAAGGGCCAGATGCTTCTTTCTTTTGTGTACATGTATTTTCTTCTTGAAGAAGAGAGAATGTTTGCCTGCAAATGGGGTCTTTATTAGCCCGTCTTCCCAGGGAGTTTATCTTGTGGTAGAAGAGAGACCAGCTAGCAAGGCAGAAAGGGGCAATCTGGCCGACTTCTGCCTATTCATCTTTAAGGCCAGATGTCGGTGTTTCTTAACTCACTGGTAAGTAACATTGTTCTGCAAACTATGAGACTCTAATTTTACCTCTCTCAGTGACATCGCAATTTTTTCCTCAAGGTTAGGTTTCCTCAGAATGAGGATATATCTTTTAAAATTTTTTGCCATGAGGTAGAGTAATAATAAAGCCTCAAAGCATTTAATCCAGCTAATGAGTAATATTGGAGACTAGAGGGAATTCAGAGAAACAGTTTCCCCAGTGTTTTCCTGAACCAGTTGGTAGGCATAGACAGTTTGGGACATGTGAGCGGAGACTGCTGTGGGTCTAGCAGTAGCTCCCCTTACGGTCACCTCCCTTTTTCTGCACTGAAAATGGAGTAAGATGGGCTCCAGCTTCTCACACCTGCGTGTGCTTAACAGGTGTAGGCACTTACTGTGTGCCAGGCCAGGTTCCAAGGGCCACATGTCTTAAATCACTTAATCCTCAGGACAACTAAATTCTGAGGTAGATCTTGTTTTTAGCTTCATTTACAGAGGAGGGAACCGAGGCTCAGTTAAATAAATTTCCCAAGGTCAAACAGTTGGTAAATGATAGAATCGGTTAAAAAAAAAAAAAAAATCCAGGCTCCAGAGTCTCCTCATGACTCTACACTGCTTGAGGAATTATTCATCCTTCTTGAGGATCTCAACAAGGGGCTGGACGAGTCAAATGTAAATTCAACATTTCTCTTCTGCAGGGTTTAAAAACACTTAATTTTTGGTAAGATCCAGGCACAAGTAGCATTTTTCCTCTCAACAAGAGCAAACTGCCCATATGAGCTATAGTACATCTTGGCATTTTTCCTAAAGTGACCTCTGCCCTCCAGTAGAACAGTACTCTGTTACCGGTCAGGTTCTGCAGAAGAAGTCCTGAGGTGGAGTTTGGCATGCAGATTATTTATTAAGGATCCCTGCCGAAGGGGAATGGACACGGGAAGTCGAATTGCAGTGCAGGCCTGACAGCCTCAAACCAACCATATGTGGCCTAGTGGCACGCATGTGGTCTCTCAGAATTGTCCTGTGGTGGGCTGAAAAGGCGTGGCCTTTATATCCCTGCCACCATCAGTCAGTAGATGTGGGACACCCCGGGGAGGGGATTGCCTTTGTCAAGAGAGCTCTTTTAGGCTGAGGCAGACTCTGAAGGAGCTGACAGCATTCCTCGTCACTGAGGCAATGTCATATCTTGCTCATACAGGTTGACCACCTGAGCTTTTCCTGTGTCATCCAATGGGCTGCATGCCACTGTTGCCCAGAGCTGGCTTTGGCCACTGATCATCTCAACTGTGTGGTGTGTAAAACCTATCTCCATTTCCTTTCTTTCAGGTCGGAAAGCTTATCCAAGAAGCAGCTGGAAGAAGTAATTTGAAGAGAGTAACTCTGGAACTTGGAGGGAAAAGTCCCAATATTATTTTTGCAGATGCCGATTGTAAGTCAGTCATAGATCTCATACGTGCCCTGGCACACTGCCCTTCAGTGCTCTCTCATATCTCCACTTTTGATAGGACACTAAGAAAAAGATCTTTGAAGCTAAGGGGCATTCATAAAGAATCTGGATCCTTTCTTCTAAGTAGAAAATAGTTTAATATTGCGAAAGAGCACTTATCAATTGGCAACTGAATAGTTTGTTTTCTAGACACCAATAAGCCATTTTGACTCTGTGATATAGAATAGGGTAGAAGAGGTAAAATAAAGGCTTGGTCAGTGCTGGATAGTGGAATGCTCTAAGGCTCTGAACACTTGAAATATAATCTCTGCCTAGAATCAAGAAATCTGAAACTTCTCAAGAGTGTCTGGTGGCTTCGTAGATCATTAAAAAAATTCTTCACTAGCTCTGCCAACATTTTCCCAAACCCACAACCCCTTCTCTGTTAACTCGTCCCAGCCCCTTTCTGTTGCTCCCATGACTTTCAGTCAGGATGACAACACACTATGATCAGTTCTGTATGAATAGACCTTAATCGAAGGTGATTATGCCCTGGTGGTAGGATTTCATGGAAGCTTGGAGCAGTAACCTAGGAAACCCCATGTCTCCAGGCAGGATGCTGTCTAGTTCACTCTGCACAGGTGTGGTCTCTGTTTTTAAAAACTTTCCAGGGAATGAAACTCCAAAATCTATTCCAGTCATCCTTTTTCTTCTTTACATCCTGGTAGGCAGAGCTGCTTCCCCATTTCACCACTGGCAAGAAGAGAAAGCAGTTTGCCTGAATTTCAGCCCCAGTTTGGGATTCGCAGAGTTCAGCTTCAGCTTTACATTAGTTGTCAAGGGGATCAGAATTCTTATACCTAAATTCCTCTTGAGGAGTAGATACTTCGTTGACATTGCATTGATTGATAGATTCAGTGAGTCATTTAGCAACTAGCACACACCAGATTTATTAATACTATCTTGAGGTATAAGAAATAAAAATGAAAGGATTATCATATGCTATTATACAATTACATGTAAATATAAAGGAAATTTAGCGTCTTCAGAGAAGATCCATTGTTATAGCTTAATTCACCAAAATACTAATTAAACATAACAGCTACAAGACCCTATAGAATAGGGGTTGCAGACTGGCAGTCACAGGCCAAATGCAGAGTATAACTACGTTTACCTGTCTAGATATTATACAGTGCTTAAAAAAACCTAAATCTGCGCATTAAAAATATTTATATTTCTGTTTTTCCTTAAAATTGGAAACCTGGCAACCGTGGGCTCATGCATAGCAACGGCCAAATGTAGTGGCTTTCCTTCTGAGTCTCCCTCACATTGTTTTACTACCTGGCAGATTCATACCATTACATCATCTGCCCAGCCCCTTTGGGCATTGGGGTTTGAGACTCCTGTTATAGATGATGTGGTCCAAGCCTCCTTTTTTACAGAAGAAGAAAGGGACTCAGAGAAGTGAAGGTGTCCAAGTTAACACAGCAAATAACATCAGAGTCTAGTTAGAACTAAGTTGCGTTCTCAATCCAGTGCTTTTTACTGCTCTACTCACTGTTCATCTCTGTGGTGAACATGACATTATACTTGGGGCTTTGGAGAGGAGAGGGAGGTGACTCCATAGACTGGCCCCTCCGCAGGTGAAGCAATGTTGAGAACATGGTTGTTTCCTCTCGTAGTGGACTACGCCGTGGAGCAGGCTCACCAGGGTGTGTTCTTCAACCAAGGCCAGTGCTGCACTGCGGGGTCTCGCATCTTCGTGGAGGAGTCCATCTATGAGGAGTTTGTGAGAAGAAGTGTGGAGCGGGCCAAGAGGCGCATAGTGGGGAGTCCCTTTGACCCCACCACTGAGCAGGGACCCCAGGTAGAGAAATCCTAAACACTCCCTTTCTTTACTTAAGCACATAGACTGGACACACTAGTGGGACCCAGCAAAGCACCATCTTCTTTTTCCTGCTGCCTCCTTACTCTTCCACCTCGTCTTCATGGCTGGGAATGTAGCCAGTGAGGCGTCCCTTATGACAGGATACCCTGAACTTTGGGAGTGAATTGGAGTCTCCACTCTAAAGAAAGACATAGGTGTGGTAAGTTGGATCTTGACATTAGAACCCAGTCCCAGTCCTAACCATTGGTCTTCAAACATCCCTACAAATGCCACAGTCAAGGAAGCTGGGCATCTCTTGTTCCCAGATGCCATCGATTCTTTTTCCAGCTGCAAAGGATTCTCTCCACCAACCGGACCTACTTCGGGGAAATCATTTGTAGATTGTGACTGTGTAGGAAATGAAAGGCTATCTACATTCCCCTCCACCATATGGCTGTCTCTTTCTCTGAATGCTTCATGCACATTGGTGGGATGGGGAAGGGCCGCAAAGGTCCCTGCGGCCCGCGCTCTTCAGCACTGCAGCTTCTCCACGATCGTCAGCACGTATTTCCCGATGAAATTCTGATTTTAACCTGTAGATAGAATCTGAGAATTTTTAAAGGACCAGATCCCATCCGGATCACAAAGCATGGGTTTTCCTAATAAGAAACAACACCTCCTAGGTTTTGGGGCTGTTTGAGAGAAGATTGATGTTCTAGCTGAGCATTTTCAAACTCAGGTGAATGTAGGTTTTTCTATTATTTACCATAACTGAGTGATAACTCTATAACTTTTGGGATGCAAGGCTGACCTTATATTATGGACTAGGAAGCTAGCTAAACTTAATCCTTTTCTCTAATGATGTAATAGCAGCTCCATTAAAAATTTACCCCAATAAGGATTTGACCTGTAGTAGCACGTAAAGAGGTTATGTGTTAACTCATCTATTATTTTCATTTTTTTAGTATCAGTACAACTTGATAAACTCTTCATTTGGCTATAGAGGTCAGTTTTCCCCCAGACAAGCAATGAACAATCAATTCATCAGTATTTCCTTTAGAAACATTGCCTAAATCTTCAACTGGTATTTCTGATTCAGCAGTATCATCGGAGCAGTCAATTTATTGGAATTCTCTCTATATTAGGTTGAACCATAAAAAATTACCACTTTTCATAGGTCAAAAATATTAAAATAACAACAGTTCCATATGATTTGACTAGGTACGTAGTTTTTAAAAAATCACAAATGAGAGATTCTTGAGAACGTGCTTATTTCCATTTTCTAGAGAACTTTACTTGCAGTCACTGGGTAATTTTTTTCTGTAGATTGATAAGAAACAGTACAACAAGATCCTGGAACTCATCCAAAGTGGCGTGGCCGAGGGCGCCAAGCTGGAATGTGGAGGCAAAGGGCTGGGCCGGAAGGGGTTCTTCATCGAGCCCACGGTGTTCTCCAACGTCACTGATGACATGCGGATTGCCAAGGAGGAGGTACCAAATCAAATACAGGGTTCTAACAACAGCCACACTTCCCCTGGGATGCTTTCCAGAACATTTCTAGTAGACGATAGTAGAGTTTCAGGTCTTTATATTTTATAGACATTGTACAATAGCAATAAACGTGACTATGAAAGTCTCGGTTTCAAGAAAGAAGTTAAACAAAAAGGCAAGGAAACTTGCTGGAGGCCCTGTGACAGGCCATGTGATTGCACCATTATTAACCAACAGAACAGCCATGATAGCCAGTCACTGTTTCACCAGGCTGTTAACCAGGAAATAGAAAGCTTCCAAGCTTCTCTACGGTTATGCAGGAGAGGGACCAGTTGCAGATCAGCCAGCTATCCAGAACAGTACTTCCTCAGTTCTGGAGCAGTGCCTGGGGCTCCTGGAGACTCAGCTTTAGTACACACAGTGGAATCGAGTGATGCCAGGGAGGGCGGGGGCATGGGGGTGTTAAACAAACTCTAAGGATAGACTCTTACGTAACTATATTCTGGGAAAGTTTGGGATATTTTACAGTTTTGTGCTGCTAAACTGAAACATCATTTAAATAATGAAAGCAGAGAACACTTGCTTTGAAATGTGAAAAGCAGGTGAAGGAATGGCAAAGCAACCATGTTGGGTCAAACTGTTTCGCTGCAGATCTTTGGTCCTGTTCAGGAAATTCTGAGGTTTAAGACTATGGATGAAGTTATTGAAAGAGCCAATAACTCCAACTTTGGACTTGTAGCTGCTGTCTTTACCAATGACATCAACAAGGCCCTCACAGTGTCCTCTGCGATGCAAGCTGGGACTGTTTGGTAAGATCAGAGTCTGTGTCGTCGTTCTGATCATAACACTTCCACTGGTGGTGTAGGGGCCTCATAATTCTCCGGAGCCTGGTGAAATACACACGCATCCTCTGGAAGGATGGGGAAGACTGAAGGCAAGCAGACGTCACCCTGAGAGGGGATACGTTCTCTACTGGCTAGAGCAGGGAAGCAAAGTGAATCTTAAATTATAAATTGTTCATCTGGAAGAAAGAAAATAAAAATAAAACTTACAAAAGAAGTATCATGCCAGTGGGATTATTTCTGTGCAAGCAGAATCCACACTAACAGTACTATGTTTTCTTCTTTCAGGATCAATTGTTACAATGCCTTAAATGCCCAGAGCCCCTTCGGGGGATTCAAGATGTCTGGAAATGGGAGAGAAATGTAAGTGTCCAAAGTTGCTGGTGCCGGCAGAGAAACAGGGATTGCAAATAGCAGCATAGAGGAATGCTCACAAAATCATTCTTTTCCTCTCATCCATTCATTAAACAAACATTTTATTGAGCACATATTACTATAAGCTACGCGCTTTACTATACATGTTACAAAGATGAGTAAACACAATTCTCTTACGTTAGGTGGGAATGGAGAAAAAAATTAACATCCTAGTGATTCCATGGAATGAAGGCTGATAGGGAAGTATGTCAGACATCTTGTACATACAAGGAAAAATCAATTCCTTTCACCTGACGGGGTCAGAGAAGACTTAGCAGAGGAAATAACATTTCACTTTTTTAGGAGCAGGCATTCCAGGCAGAGGAAACAGCAAGAACAAAGGCTTGAAGGCACATCAAATACAGAACCATCAGGGAGAGAAACAGTTTGGTGTGTTTAAAACAATGGTCACCAACTGACAGCCCAGGGACAGATCTGGCCTGCAGAAATGTTTTGTTTTGCATCACAGCATTTCAGAATCTTTACCTGCTATTCAAAAAGGAAGAGGCTTTACATAAAATCTAGATTACTTGCTTCTTTTCATCCCCCAAGAGCAAAATTGCTTTACCTGTTCAGTCGCCATCTTGCCCACCCCTCCCACTGCTGCCGGGGCCTGGATGTTGGTTGTCATTTATTATACACACATCTAATTCACTCACTTAGGTCCCCTCCTCAGTACCTATAGGTTCTTTGAGTTTGGGAATACAGGATTAAGGCATAGGATGAATGAGAGGTTTGAACCCATTTTCAAAGGGCTTTCTTTAGAGGGAGCTATGGAGATCCCAAAGTTTTTAAGGCCAAGATTCCTGGCACATAAAGGATGTTTTGGCAGAGGTTACAGGAAGAAGACCCAGTAGAAGGAATTTGCAATAACAATAATAGATATCATTAATTAAATGCCTAATTTGTGTATGGCTTTATGCTAACTTTTCTCCAAACATTGTCTCATTTGATTTACACAATGATTCTATGGGATAGAGACACTTATCTTTGGATTACAGGTGGTTCAGATGAGGAACTAAGAGTTAAAGGGGTTAAATAGCTTGCCTAAGTCAAATTGCAAGTAAGTGACATATCTGAGATCCGAGCCTAGGTTTCAGTGTCTCTAAATGCACTCAGTTCCCATAATATCCAGTCAAAGAAGCGGAGGTGGGGGTGGGGGACAGGCATAAGAGCTCTACAGGGACAAGATAAGGGGAGAGTCCTGAAATGCTAAGGACCTGAAAAATGAGACTATAGTAGAGGAAAATTAAACTCTAGGGATTTTATTTGCAGGCTTCATATATAAATGCATTTTTTGAGTGATGTTCAGAGAGTGACTGGTAGCCAGGGTCTTCCTGAGCAAATGCTTAGTTCACAAGCGATCTACTAACAAGTCTTGAGCATATACAGTATGCAAAGCATGATACTTGGTCTATGGGGAAGATGTGGCCCATTAAGAAACTTAAAATTTTGATGGATAAATAACATATACAACTTGAAAGAATCAGAAGAATCCCAGAAAAGATAGCTGGGGGAAAGAGGAGTTCAGGGATGGGAGAGATCCTTGTGAGCTGGAGAAGTCCAGGAAACGTTTAGATATGATCTAATGTAGGGATTTGAATTGGCCTTTAAAAGAGAGGAACTTTTGGTTAGATGGAGAGGGGAATATTTTTTCAGGGTTGGCGGGCAAAGCAAGGTAGCAGTAGGAGAAGGGTGAGTAAAGCCAGTATGGGAGAAATAGGTATGGTGTTTGGAGAAAGTGCAGTGAACCCATAAGACTAATGCAGAGGGCTTACACGCTTCATACACTTCAGCTGGTCATTTCTAGCCCCTAGCCACTAAATCATAAAGTAGGTATAACTTTGAGGTAAAGAGCAGAGTTTCTAGAATCACGCTGCTCAGATGTGTATCCTGGCTTTAGCACTTAATACCTGTGCAACCTTGGGCAAATTACTTAATCTTACTAAGCTTCAGTATTCTCATCTATAAAATGGGAATAATTACAGTACCTACACCAAAGGGTAGCTATGAGGATTAAATGTTAGGATTAACTATGCCAAATATCCAACAGAATGTCTGGCAAACCTTCAGAAAATGTTATCTGCTATCATCATTCTTGATCAAGTACTATAGATGAATGCCATATAGGTGATCCTCCTTTATTTTAATAAACATATTACTTTGGGAGTGTGGCAGAATTTTTCCTAAATCCAGCTAATGTCACCAATTTAAATTCTGTCTCTAGTAATGCCAGGGAGAAACTGCTCTTGCTTGAATCTTTGCTTCTGGCTTTCAGTACCTCTCACTTGCTTTATAGCCAGAACCCATACCCAATCTGGATCTTATTTGCTCAATTATTGGTATTCCTCAGCTTCTATAAAGTCTTCATGTATTCCGGGTATTCTTCTTACCTTGCACATGGCCTTAACTTTCTAGCTCTTACTTGTCAAGCTGCATTCAACTTGTTATTTTATTTCCTGCTCCTGTGTTTGTGCTCCTCCAGTCTCTGAAAGGTTGGAGCAATCATTGGTTCTTGGAATGCTGCTCGCATTGACTGTTTTGTTATAGATTATTAACAGGGTGAATCATGGGCATAAAATATACTTGTAATAAAGAATCGATGATTGATGGCTCCTAATCCCAGCCTCGCCCAGGACCCTCATCATGGTCAAGCCTCCTGCCAGGGTTCTGGTGACATTGTCCAGGTCCAGTCTGTTCCTATCAGAAACATTCTCCTTACCTAGAAAAATGGTCCAGGAGACCGTTTGGCTGTGTCAGAAACACACGGAACAGTGGCCCAACATACTGAAGAATAGCTTCTCTTGACTCGTAGGTGCTATAGTGTTTTGGCCTTCCCAGTACGGTTAAAAAATAATTAGGAAACTGTCCTCTTTGATGAGCCTCACTTTATCTTGTCTAAATGATATGCTTCTTTGTCCCCACTTGCCCCCAGAAAATGTTTTCTCTTCCTTAAATGACTAGAGTGGTAGGAAATGCTTCATATAAAGAACCTTCCCTGTCCTGGCCCTCCACTTTTCTTTCCCATTTAATACAGTCTTAGAAGCTCCACTTGACCCTGCATGTGGACAGCATTGTTTATGGCCCATAAACTCCATGCAGCTTCGGTCTTTGACATCTCCTTGCCCACCCTTAAGAGGAACAGAGACAGGAAGAATATATAGCGCTTTCTGGAAACAAGTTCCAAGTGGGGCTGGGGAGCCTAAGTTCTTCCCAAAGAGCTGTGGAGAGGGCTGCCCTCTACAGGTTACCTGATGGACTGGCCTCTGACTCCAGGGGTCAGAGACTTGGGCTGAGTTTCTCTCAGTTCTGCCTGTCTAGCTAATTATATCTGTTTCATTGTTCCTCAACCTTTTCCTTACTTCCTCATTTAAGCTCCTCTGAGACAAGGGTCATAGAGCCCAAGCTCTAAAATGTGTGTCACAAACCTAAGGAATAGAAAGCAAACTGTGAACTTCAGCATTTTAAAAATGAAGGACACAAGCTTTGAAGATGAGAAATATTAAGATACTCTAAATGAGGGCTTCTGAAGTCCGTGTGTGTATGTGCGTGTGCATTGTGCATGTGTGCTCATGCATACCATGCACGTGCACAGAAAGTCACCTGCAGTCTGGGGGGAAGGGGCTTGCGAAGCATGCCTATCTGGGGACCCACTCTCAGAGATTCTGATTTAGTAGATCTGGGCTAGGGCCCAGGATCTGCATTTTTAACAAGCTTCTGGAATGATTCTGATGCAGGTGGTCTGGGGACCCTGCTCTGAGAAATGCTGAGGTAAGCCAAAGAAAAAAGCAGGGAAATATACACCCTAAACAGAAACCCCTATTTATTTAGTGGGCGAGTCTGACTGATTTCCCAAAATGGATGTCTGAGAGACACCAGAATCTAACCTCTTATGTGTAGGTATGCCGATTTGGTTCATCTTAAGGAATATAACCTAGTCTGGCTGAGAAGCAGGGATACAAGCTTTTAAATGTGTCTGTGCCCTGGCACATGGCCCTGCTATGAAGGTGACCACACAGAGAGATTGGGGTGCGTCAGTAACAATATATCTGCCTTTTGTGAAGTAGTGGGGTTCTTCCTTGACTGCGGAACTGTATGTACCACAGAGTTAACTAGATTATGTAGAATTTAAGTCGATTTGAGAGAAAAACCTTTGAATGAGATGGCAAAATAGCTGAAGAATCTGAACTTCAAAGTTTTCAGACCTCACAGCAGTGTTTCTCAAAGGGTGGGCCAAATAACCACCCATATCAAAATCTCTAAGGTTCCTTCCCAGACCTACTGAAACAGAATCTTTGGTGGGGGCTGGTCAAGGATCTGCAATTTAAGGCACCTTCAAGGGTGATACTTCAATATGCTGACATTCAGGAACTGCTGCCTGAGAGATGACTGGGTACCAGGAGGAGGGAGTGCCTCATCTGAAGTCATACAGCCAATAATGAAAGAGCTGAGATGGCACTCCTGTCTGCTGATCCTTCGCTTAGGTATTCATTCTGTGCTCTAAGCATTGCTCTAGGACCTCTCACTGGCTTTCTTTGATGCCTTGGGCCTATGGGTGGTACTTCTTTTAAATGGAAGATTTGAGATCACTCCTCTGTCTCAGAGCAGTCTGTGTGTGCACCCTGGTGACAGGTGGCTGCCTGGGACCTGGACAAGGAGCGCCTCCCATCTAGCAGGATTTTTCATTGCTTCGCGTACCCAAAGATCCTGGGATCCAACAGTCACACTTGAAAGCAACCATACCTCTTTCTGTAGTCTTCCCGTAGTCTACTTTCTTAGACTTTCTTACATTTCTCACAACCTAGACAGAGATCTGAGCAGAAGAAAAGTGGTGGTTCAGGGTCTGCCCTAAGTTTGTGCACAAGCCAGGAAACAAGAAGGGAGTAACTGCATTTCAAACAGGAGGCAGATGATGTCCGTGATGAAGAGACACATTCAGAATTGCCCAAGGGAAGGAAAAAGTCCAGAGAGAACCAGAACTGAGCTGGTAACAAAGAGACTCAGAGCCTGGATGGAGCTAATGAGGAAATCATATGCTGAGTGGGGCAGTCTCAAGTTTATTCTCATTCCTGTAACCAAAGTGGCTGGTGCAGATAAGAGAGCAGCACGCTTTCCCCAGTCTCTCCTCGGCTGCCCTCTGATGTCCCCGGAGCAGTATACCAGCTCCGTGGTCAGCCTTTGGGTGTTCATTTCCATTTATTAAGTCTAAAGACCAATGAAAAGGAAATTAGAATACCAACCCAAGAGGCCCCTAGCCTGGGAATCTTGTGGTTTTCTTTCAGAGAGAGACCAGAGCACAGACGCATCTTGGGTGTCAAGTGGCAGGAATGGGGTTTACGAAGACGAAAGCACACCGTGGTCCTGAAGAGCCAGCTGCCTGTGCTAGAAACACAGCCCGGGCATTAGAGTCCTGGTTCTGCCGCTGCCCATAGTGCCGACCCAGGCACAGCGGGGTTTCTGGTTGACCACTGGCCAAGGTGAACCCCCAGACCTGTTTCTCCGAGTAGTTGGGAATGTTACTTTTCTTTGCAATATTGTGAAGATAGATCATCATTTATTTTTAAGAAACAGTGGCTGCTCATAAGAGGACAGCTTTCCCGGGACTCGTACCGTGGCTTGGGTTGGGTTGCCGGGGCCTCTGCTGTCTGACACCGCCCATTTCTGCTTTTCAGGGGAGAATTCGGTTTGCGAGAGTACTCCGAAGTTAAGACTGTGACAGTAAAGATCCCCCAGAAGAATTCCTAAGAAGGCCAAGAAGGAAGGTGAAGGCCCGCCTGCACTACCCTCCCTCTCTGCTCTCCCTGTAGGGCCCAGCTCTCAGGAATCCAAAGTTGACACTCAGTCCTTATTTAAAGATTTAAATGATATCATGTAAGCCGGGCCGGTCACTGCATAACTAAAGCCAACCGGCTGGGCACAGTTTCTTGGCATTTTGTAAGGGATCACCTTAATGATACCAAATATTGGGGAAGGTGGGATGAAGGTAAGAGGAGCAGCTATCGGCACGTCCGGTATCTCTTTCTGAAGTGAGGAGCTGAATGAGGGAGCTGTATTATCTGATGCCTTGTGTCACAAAGAACTTTCCTCTTAAGGAAAAGTAGCCTTTCCACTGTCTTCATTTTTCCCCTTCCAGGCTCTCCCTGCTCACCCACTCCTCCTGCTCCTCCAAGGAGATCTCAGCTGAGCTCATTTGGGGCAGATGTTTGGGCCGGGAACAATTTTCCAAGATTTTGCAGCCAAATTACCATTTCTTGTTATCCATTTCTTCAAAGCAAAACATGAAATGGTTTTAGTTAGAGCCAGACCAGACTGAAAATGCCAGGAGCTGGTATACTGCAGATACACGAGGAAGTGAAGCTTGGGATGTTCCTGACCCAGTCCGGTTTTCTTACATTCATAAATAACATGTGCGAAAGAACAGGAAATGAAGACACAGAGATCACCATGTTTAGTTCACAGCTTCTGAGCTTGCTGCATGGGTTTGGGGTGTGTGTTTGTGTGCGTGCACGTGCACACACGCACTTGCACACATTTATTTCTGTCCTGGTTCTTCCAGAATAAGGTAGGGGGTGGGTTGTTTTTCATAGACTGATAAGATCTTTTCCAAAGCGTATCTTTAAAATCAACCAGAAAATGATCTGAGTAGGCTCAAGAATTTGGAAAAAGGTAGTGCTGGGTGCCTTGCAGAAATAAGATTGTTTCTCATACTGTTTGACAATTCTTAGTGAATTATCTCTGCAGTTGGATTTCTAGCTTCTTCTGCCTCCCGCCCCCGCCCCCTGCTGCCCTCACCAGTTCCCACCACACCAACATCTGCTACTCCCAGTGATCTGGGTGTTACTTTGGCCTATCGTGCCTTAAATGCCCTATATTCACTGGCAGTAACCTTAGAAAATCTGGCCAAGCCTAGTGGTTTTCTTTTCTGTTTGCACAGCTCTCGTGTGCCACGATGGCCATGTGCCACCAGAGCTCCTCTGTCATGCCCACTGGCTCGTGCATATGCCATTCTTGCCTCTTGGCCTCTGGAGGGGGCGATGAGAAGCAGGCTGGCTCCCTTTCCTCCCAGCCACACACTCCTGTTCTGCTTTCCAGCGAACCCACCAGTGTGACATGAGCGGTGTCAGCTTCCTTTCCTCCTTCCCTCTTTCCAACTGCTGAATTCAAGCCAGTCTCTAACCTAGATGAAGATCATTTATTTAAAAGTACCAAACATAACCTAGAGTATACGGAATATGGGCAACACATATAGCCTTCTGTATTTAACTGTTTTCTGCTTTCTAACCATATCGGTTTTCTGTTTCTAATCATTTTCTATTCATGATGTTTTAAAGAAATCTACTTGCTGTTATTTGCAAACGACAGTGAATTCAGTGGCCCAATGCCTGGAGAGATGCCACATTTCTGAGTTCGTCCATGTGAATGTCATGCTCTCCCCTTATAGCGTGTGTCCAAGTGAACATATCCATTAACCAGCTAGTTACCTTTGAACTGCAATAGAGAATGTGAAAATGAAGATTTATTTCTTTTAATTTACTTAAAAAAAAAAACCTCTGTGCTAGTAATAAAGCATTTATATTGTGTACTCCTTGGGATTATTTGGCTGTGTTTTATAAGTCTTTTGTGTCATACTCAGTACTTCTGAGTCCTTCCCTCAGCTGCAGGGTTATTCAGTTGCTCTCTCTCTGGTTACTGAGCCAAAATCTGGAAGGGTATTTTTACAGAATGCCCTTATTCTCTGACACTATTTAAACTCTGCGTATACACACGGTTTTCTATGGCAAACAGGTATAACCTCGATGAAATACATGAAATGACAATTTTCATTCAAAATAACCTCCATGAAAGCTAAAATGTAGAGGAGTTTTTAGGGCCTCATTCTCACAGACATGGACGACGTGATGCGAGCTCACATCGCTGGTGGCATTTAGCAGTAGCTTCATTTTTATTTACCAAAGTGAAATGAAGTCAACTCAATGCAATATCTTTGCAGCTTTAAAAAGGAAGCTGTAAGTGGTGATCGTCCGGCCAGCTCGAGCCCGTTCACTCTCAGTGTTTTCAGAGCTGAGCTTTCGGGGAGTGGCGTCCACCCTCTAGACCTGCACGTCCCGTCTTTCCAACCCTCGGAATCTCCACCCAAGTCCTGGTCCAGTGAAACAAAAACAAAAACTGGTGACTTAGCCAGAGGGGACATCAGACCTAGAGAGACATGTTGCCGTGGACTAGGATTCGATGCTCTGACTGCAACATCTTGTTCCTCGGAGGAACAAATGAAGCGTGGGAGAATGCAGTCCCTGGGGCATTGGGTTGAGCTCTGAAATATAAGAAGTAGACTCCCTGCAAACCTCCGTCATGTTCAGGAAGAAAATGAGAAGGAGACGGGCATCATGTAATCATTTAAAAGTCCTCTGCAAAGGTGCCTTTGTAGAGCTTCTAGACAGCAGAAATTGGAGTAAGATAGACATAATGTGATGGTTTTTTTAAAGCATCACGTTCCTCAAACCTCGTTCCTTTATGACCCTGACATAAAGGCGAATGAAGACGGCGTTACAAATGTCATTAATGAAACTAACAGAGACACGCGTTGGTCCTTTTTCATTCACTACATATTTATGGTCTTTTGTACTGTTAACCATGAGATGTCCATTGTAGCATTTCCTCCAAAACTCCCTCAGTGCATTTTTCATGACGTTTTAGATAATAAAGGAGATAAGAATACTATAACGTAGAGCCTAAAGAACAGAAAGAAACAGTAAATCCACTGGACTGTGTAATAAGACAGAAAGGCACCCAGGAAAAGAGGACAATCAAAGAGATGAAATGCATTTTGAACTGGAAGGAATATCTCAATAGGCAAGGCAGAAAGAAGAGGGCATTTTTGGTAGAAAGAGTAACCCACAAAGGCACAGAGGTGATGCCAAGGCATCCTTATGTGATAGTGAGGAGTCAGACTGCCCAGACGAGGCATCACGAGCTGGCAAATGGTCAGATTGCAGAGGGCCTTAGGGGTCAGCCATCGTTCCATGGCCATGTAATAAAATATAAGGTATCTCCGGTGGCTTTTTGGAGAGTGATGAAGCAGTGGTTAGAGCATACTAGTGTGGAGCAGAGTGAATGGGAGGAGAAATAGGCTGATTATGAGATGAGTTTGGTGTGATACTGGCTTGGGTCATGGGGATGGAGCGGAGGAAAACCAGTGGAGAAGTCACCGGAACTTGCTGAATGAATATGAAAGGATGAAGAGTAAATGAGTAAGTTTTCAAGTCTGGTTGAGTAAGGAAATGTCAATAGCACTGCCACGTAAGTTGAAACATGGAACAAAGTTTTGGGAAAAGATCTTACCTTCATGCTCTGGACATGTACACTTTGTGGTGATGCAGAGAGATCCAGACAGAAGTCTCCAGCAGGCATTTGGAGATAAGAGATCGGAACCTGGCTCAGGTGACTGGATTACGGCATGAACATAAAAGTAATGGCTCTGTGTATAAAGAGTGCAAGAATAAAAACAAAACCAGGGTCAGGGAGAAGGAACAGAGCAAAAATAAACGGAGGTTGTAGTCAGAGAAATGAAGAAATTGTGTCAAGTATATACCACGGAGCCCAGGAGGGAGCCCAGGGAGGGCAGGCAGCAAAGAGTATGAGAGAGAAAGAGGATGGTTTGAGGAGCCCTCGCATTAGGGGATTTTGAATTTCTCTTCACTTCTGAAATAGAGGCTGGTGGTGTCTGCTAGCTGAGGAAGGTATAGCAGCCACTGCCTTGCATGTGCTTTATGCTGTAAGCCAGGAGGCCTTTCAGAGCTACACTGTGCTCAGCAACAGCCACACGGTCATCAGACGTCTCCTGAGCTGTAGTTCAGACTCATTACCAGTCATCTAGTACCCACCTCAGAGCCTCATGGAAAGAGAAGCATGAGCCCACAATTAATACTCACCACATTAAGTTAGAAGAAACTAGAGCTGGATGAGATGGCTGAGGTCAGGGAGGAGGAAACCGGATGTGGAATAAGTGTTAAAGAGTGAGTAGAGTTTGGAAAGGTGTAAAGAGGAGAGATAGAAAGTCTGCTGGGAAAAAATCCATCCGCACAGAAGTTGCTCAGGCTGCATTGGCCGCCTTCTTGGCCAGGGAAGGGGTGCGGCTGCACCCCGGAATGGAAATTTCCATTGCCAGTTATATGTATTTATATAGTCATTTGTTGGTTTCCTAGTCTTTTCGGTTGACTAATATCTTAGAAGTATTTAAAGTCAGTCACAAGAATGCTTAAAATATAACGAGAACAATAAACACAACAAAATCACATGAATTAAAAGAGAGTAAAAAAAGAAAAGAAAGGTGGAAAACAAATGCAGCCAGAATGAGACTGGAATACACATTCCACAGCGTTCTATCGCTCTTCTTAAGGGGTCCCCATGATCTGATGAGAGAAGAGCTGACACTGCAGACCAGTGATTCTAAGAAATTAAATCTCCCTTCTTCCCTTTCTTCCTCTCCCCTCCTCTCCCTCCACAAATATTTGCTATGCCAGGCTCTGGCACAAGTGCTGGGATACAGAGCAAGCCAGGCATGGCTCCCACCCTTGTGAAGCATGAAGTCTAATATGGTCACTTACAGCCAGGAGTCAGTGGCTTTCTCTGCTGTCTCGCTATAACTCCTTGCCAGGCATAGACATCCAGTTCATAGAAGGAGAATGTAGAACTTTTCCCACAACCTCTTAGTAATCCAGAGAGACAACTTAGCCTACAGAAATAGCTATGACTAGCAACGTGGCGGAGTGAAAAGCACGTTGCATCGGAGGGTCAGAAAGGCTATCGGAAGTCCTCACTTGGAATCTCTTATCAGCTATTTACAAGCTGTGTGTCTTTGGGTAAGTCACTTAACTTCCGTGGGCCTCCACTTCCTCTGGAAGATCGAGGCGATCATTCTTGCCCTGCCTACCTCACAAAGTTGTGTGAGGATTAAACCACATCAGGGATGACATATTTCTTTAGTTGCTCTGAGACATCATGCTGCACACACACAACCCTAAACGACTACAAAGAATAAAGCAAAATTACTCTTCGATGCATTGATCACTCCGTAGCACACGAGAATTCATCATTTCTCCCTCACTTTCGAAGCCAACATGTAGACCCTGACTCTCCAAGCTGGGTTTCCTGTGGGTTTCCAGGACAGTGGGCCTCATGGGAATTCCTCAAGCCAGCTAAGGGCAAGGGGGATGAATGCAGCCCGGACTGTTTGCCACATTTTGATCTTGTACATTCAACACATTGTTCAGACACTCTGTAGGGAGAATATGAGACCCTCGGGCTCTGGCTGGGTTGTTGGTGCCACTCTAACTGTCTTACACGACAACTGCTCCTCAGCGGAGACCAGCTGGGAACGAGAGCATGGGAAAGTCCACTGGAGCGGCATGAAGCCCTCTTCCTAAACACGTGCATTTCTAATTCTCACTTGGTTATTAGCCAGATTAAAAGGAAGATCAGCTTGCCATTTAGCCTTTGATGTGAAACTGCTTGGATAATGTTTCCGTTGGCCATTTATCTATGTAGCAAGGAGGAACCTGAAACCCGCGTGGC